CAGCGCCGAAAAGGACAACGGCGGCGACCCGCTGGCGTCATTTCCGCTTCCGGCCGCGCGGGATTTGAACCCCAGACGCGTCCGACCCCGTTAGAACCGAACACCGTGCTGAACTCTTTCCCGTGCCGGGGACCGGACTCGGGACTTTGCCCTTGCCAGGTAAGGTCGGAGCCACGGAGCTACATCCCCGGTCCATGCTGAACTCTTTAATAGTTTATTTCTTTGCGTTCTCAATGTAAGCAGGTTTGCTAGAAATCTGGATTTGTGTTTCTTCAAATATGTCTCGTATCGCTATGTTTATGATCTTGTCATATGGCCTGCAATCATTTATAAGGCGTTCAAAATAGCACAGAGATCAACGGGTATTTTCCCCAGTCGTTTATTTTAGAATGTCGCCTACTCCCAATAAGGACGCTAAAAGATTTTTATGGGCTTCAGCACATTGATACTAAAGTCTATATGGAAGAGAAGAAAACACTGAAAGGGAAAACCAGTGATGACCTGAAGATGTGAAAACTTGCTGTAAATCCGCTGTAATTAACCCTGCGTGGTACTGGCCCGTGGACAGGAATCTAACAAGTGGGATAGACTTAGTGTCATAAGGGAATTTGGTTCGCAAATATGATCTATCAGATCCATGGAGCACAAACGCAATTTGGAATGAAGGGTACTGAAAAGGGGTAAAAATGTGACCACCAGGAAGTGGTACCGCACAAGCTTTTTGGGGGCCGCACTCCGGCAGGCTAGAATTAGGGAGACTGTACATAGCACAAGAATATCGTGTACCTTGTGGATATTTTAGGGCAATGGTTATTGTGACTGGTAAAATTAGCTAAGCCTATAAAGCGATGTTTACCCATTTTCCTCCGTTTTATAATTTTTTCCCCTCTCTTTGTGATACTGGGAATTGAACTCAGGAAGTGCATGGCTACCTCTCTAGTCCTTTATATTTTACTTTGAGACAAGGTATCGTTAGTTACTTTTCTCTTCGCTGAGAAAAAAAAAAATACTGGATACCCACAAGCTGAAGGAGAGGTTTAATTTGGCTCAGAGTTGGTGGAGGTGTCAGTGCAGAGTTGGCTGGCTCCAAGGCAGGGTGGCACGGCAGAGGAGAAACAGTCCATGGCGGGGCAGACAGGAGGCAACCTTTCCTTTTATCCCATCCAGGCTACAACCCTTTTAGGTGGTGCCACGTACATCCAGGGCAGGGCTCCTCTCCTTCGTAAATCCACTCAGCCACAGAACTGTGCTAATTCCAATCAGTGGACTAATTTAGTACCCCACCCTTAATTCCAGGATCATAATCCTAGAAACAGCCAGCTCTGAAAAGCCCCACCTATGAACAGATGAGGTTTTGGCAGGATATCAAGATATGAGCCATAAAACAAGGTCTTCTGGCTAAACTACCCAGGCCTTGGTCAAACTTGCCATCCTCCTGCCTCAGCTTCTGAAGTAGCTGGGATTACAGACTCCTGCCACCGCGCCCTGCGTTTATTAGGCACTTCTAAAGATATTATAAGGAGCACAATGTTCAAACTTAGTAGAGACTCTATTAAATATTAGCCATATGTATATTTAATTACTTTGAGTTTTAGCTCTCTGTACCTAAGGGTTTCTTTTTATTCATGCATTCATTCATTTATTTATTTAAGTTTCTCTCTTTTGACCTCCTGGTCGCTGACAGTGCCAGTATTCTCTGCCCTCACTCTGTTTTGTCTTCTTTTGTTTATTGGTTTCAGGCTTTCAAGAGCTAAAGTCTGGGTCTTTAGCTGCTAAGAGAAAAGGAGAGGAGGGAACAAGGACCAGGTGCCTCTTGGCAATGTCTTCCTGACACTCTTCTGTGAACAGGATAATCACCACCCATCTCCTTTACTATTCTAGGCAGAATCTTCTAAAATGGATCGTTATCTCTAGCAGGTGGATAGTCTTTCCTTTCTCTCTGTGGATTTTTTTGTTTGTTTGCTTTTTGGTGGTGCTGGGGATTGAATCCAGGGCCTCACATGTGCTAGGCAAGTGCTTTACCACTGTGCCACCTCCTCAGTCCGTATTACTATTTTATTCTGAGACAGGGTCTTGCCATGTCAACCAGGCTGGCTTTGAACTAGTGATCCTCCTGCCTCAGCCTCCCAAGTGCTAATGGATGTGTGCCACTGTGCCAGGGAAGAGGACTTCTTATATGCATAAGTCCTAGAAAGGGAGGCACACTGTGACATGTAGGAAGTCATGCTGTGCTATCAAAGCATCTAATGAGCAGGCCCTACCCACAAGGTAGTGAGCTAAGAGAGTGAGGGCCGTAGGCCAGTTCCCTCATTGGGCATCTGTGTGAAGAACAAGAGCACATGACGTGAGATTTCCTTGATGATTCAATCCAATGTCATGGGGGAAGGCAAGAAAGAGAATGTGGTCAGGGATTAGCTTGATCATGCTGATGTCACAAGGTAGTGAGCTAAGAGAGTGAGGGCCGTAGGCCAGTTCCCTCATTGGGCATCTGTGTGATGATGTGAGATTTCGTTGATGATTCAATCCATTGTCATGGGGGAAGGCAAGAAAGAGAATGTGGTCAGGGATTAGCTTGATCACGCTGATATGCCTGGGTCCTCACAGACTGTGGGGGATCTTCTAACACCCAGAAAAATTGAAAACTAAAAAAAAGTTCCAAGGAAATCTGGAAAACTAGAGCACGAAACTTGGAATGAGAACTTGTAGCTGGACCTAGGTGAAACTCAGTCTTTAACCCCTAAGACACTCTGAGCCTCCCTTACCAGGTACATAGTTTTCCCTTTGGTCTCTGCATTGCTCTGCTTGAGAACCCTATGGTGGTCTCTCCTGGGGCAGTTACACTGGAAGGGAACACGATGCGAGACCCCCCGTGATCACCCGCCGGTGCCATTAGACGCAAAACATGTACAAAATCGGGGGACACAGGTGGACAGCATCAGGCACGAAAAGGGTTCACACAGCCTTCCCACTGTGGTCACATGTGTCAGAGGAAAACCAGGGACCCTGCATGGGAAATAATTCTAAGGGTGTGAGGCCCAGGGTGGTGGGCTGAGCCCTAGGTGGGACCAAGTTCATTGACCTGGGTCACAACTGCACATTCTGGGTTTCGGTTCCTGGCTGACAACGAACTTGTTTGGGTGGCTGGAACTTAGTAGAAATCAAAGTAAGGAGCCCTGAAGCATCGAGACAATAAGGCCGTACAGGGCTGTCAGGGGCGCACGGAACGTGCCAGCCGGCCGAGCCATCTGTTGTCCTACAGATGTCCTCGATGGTGACAGAATGGCCTCAGTGTCCCTGGGAACGAAACCGACAAGAAGGCAAATAGACAACCTTGAAAGAAACACACGATTGTATTCCAACACAACCTCATTTACAAACCGTGTCAGTGTCAGATGTGTCTCGTGGGTCATAGTTCACCAACTCAGATACTGAAATACTGTGTTTTGTTTTGGTTTTCTTTTCTTTTGGTACCGGGGATCGAACTCGGGTCCTTGCGCCAGCGAGGCAGGCGGCGGAACCACTGAGCCAAATCCCCGGCCCTGTTTTGGTTTTCTCTGATACTGCAGATTGAACCCAGGGTCTCACAGAATTAAAACCCATCCCTTTTAATTTTTAAATTTTGAGATCGTCTTCATAAATCATCTGGACTGCTCTCCAACTTGCAATCCTCCTGCCTCTGCCTCCTGAGTAGCTGGGATTACAGGCATCCATCATTATACCTTGGGAATATTGCTTGTTCTAGGTAACGCATGTCTAAAGTCTAGAGGACAAACTTAACATGAATCACTGAAGTGGAGATTCACCACCTCTTACCAGATCTTCAGACCTATGGAACTTTAGCACTTGGGCTTGTGCAGAAAGAACACGGAACATGGAAAATGACCACAGAATATCACAAACGTGTATTAATTCTCCCACTGTCTGTGAAAACATCACCTTCAGAGGTCTAATGCTTTTATACCTCTGTACATCACTTACAAAGGAGAGGCTGGAGTTAGAGGGCCAGCTGAATAAACATTTCGAGCCGCTCTTAATTATTGCACTCACGCTACCCACTCCCAAAATGAGGAACGGCACCTGTAGACCTTGCAGATTTGGGAGACAGCAGGTGCCATATTGGCCTGTGCCTTTGACCTATGTAGAATCTCCTAGAATTGGGACCACAGTGAGTGAGCAATGTGCACCCAGCTCAGGCTGCAGCACAAGCTTCTCAGTTAGTGTGAGTGATCCACCAGACACAAGGACTCTCACAGTGTCCGTGGTAGCCAGGCAGAGCCTGTAATCCCAACTACTTGGGAGGCTGAGGCAGGAGGATCGCAAGTTCCAGGTCAGCCTGGGCAACTTAATGAGATGCGGTCAAAATTTTAAAATGAAGCTGTGTGTGGTGGTGCACGACAGTTATCCTAGCACTCGGGAGGCTGAGGCAGGAGGATCGCTTTGAGTTTGAGGCCAGCCTGGGCTACATAGTGAATTCAAGGCTGGCCTGCACTACAAAGTGAGACCCTATCTCAAAAAAAATCAAATAAAGAAATAAAATAAATAAAATTTAAAAATGAAAAGAAAAAGGACTGATGATGTAGCTCAGTGGCAGAGCACCTTTGGGTTCGATCCTGAGTAACACACACAAATATAAGAAGGATGACAGCACTGATAGGAGTCTCACAGCACAGACCTTTATTTTTGCTTATTTTTATTTTTGTTTTTTCGAGACAGGGCCTCACTGTGTAGTGCAGGCTGCCCTTGAGTTCACTATGTAGCCCAGGCTGGCCTTGAACTTGTGGCGATCCTCCTGCCTCAGCCTCCTGAGTGCTGGGATTACAGTTGTGTGCCACCACGCCCAGCTACCACAGACCTTTAGTACATTCTATATTTATTTATTTGTGTGATTATTATTGCCCAGGCTGACTGAATTTGTGATCTTCCTGCCTCAGCCTCATGAGTACTGGACTTACAGTCAAGGGTTGATGGTCCTAGCTTCTCTGGTACTTTAGAGCAAATCTGTGGCCTGCTGTGCTGGAAAGTATTCTGCTTTTGAGGAACAGGTTATGACTGGGACACAACAGAGACCATACAGCTAACTAGGGGACCCCAAGTCCTCCTGCCTCAGCCTTCTAAATGCTAGGATTACAGGTGTAGATCACCTTGCCTGGCTTGTTTTT